TAGCACAGCGCTGCGTGGCCCCGGACGGAATCCCACCGTAGGCCTCAGCGGCGGCGGCCCAACGCGCCCCCCCCCCCCCCCGCCCAGCACAGAGCTCCACCGAAGGCCTCAGTAGCGGCGTTCGCATGCGGTTCCCCCACCCAGTGGAACATTCAGCACATTCCCCCACCCACCCGGCGTCCCCACCACCCCGCACAGCGTTTAGTGGCCCCATCGGGGGCTCTACCGAATGCCACAGCGGCGGTGGTCGCATGCGTCTCCCCCACCCAGCACAGCGCTTCGTGGCCGAATGAGGAATTCCAACGAAGACCTCGGTGGCAGCTTTCGCCTGCGTCGTCCCCGCCCAGCACAGCGCTTCGTGGCCCCATAGGGAGCTCCACCTAAGGCCCCTCTGGCGGTGTTCGCACGCGGCTCCCTTAATCAATACAGCGCTTCGTGGCCCCATAGGGAGCTCGACCGAAGGCTCCAGCGGCGGCCCCGCCCCATTGCGGCGCACCCTTCGCGCGCTTCGCGGCACCATCCTGGGCCCCGCCTCAAGCCGAGTGGCAGCGCCAATATGGCAGCCCCGCCCCATGTCGGCGAACCTTGTGCATGCTCCATGGCCCCATGATGGGGGTCCCCCCGATGCGATAGCCGCAACACGCCAGCGGGCGGTGCCACTAGGGCCTTCGGTGGAGTTCTCATATGGCCACGAAGCGCTGCACTGCGTGGGGGTGACGTACGCGGGCGGTGCCACTGAGGCCGTCGGCGGAGCTCTCGATGGAGCGTCTTATGAAGCCCCCCCCTGTTTGGTCGACGATAATGTGCCGTTCGGGCAGGACCGCGTCATGCTATCAAAGTTTTGCGAGGCACAACCTGAACTCCACCACCACCCCCGAAGGCGGACACCCCCCAGTACATTAACAGAGGTAAACCCGTCTTCGGGCCCTTTCCAAGGGGACGCGTCCAGGTCGGGGTATGTTGATGGGGTCCTTCCACCACTGCGCGGAACCCATTCCTGATTCGCTCGGGGTGGTGGGTGTCGCCTCCATGGGAAAGGACAACGGGTTTTGATGGCGCCCAACGCGCACAATTGGAATTCCAGCCCCTCTTTGTTCCTGCTGTCGGATTGTTTTTTTTTGTGGCGGGAAAAGATTGGCGTGGGACGGGCATTCACCTATGGGCGAGCACTGGAGACTGATCAGACGTATACCCCCCGAGTGGCAAATCGACAAAGTAGCAATTCATAGGAGCGTGGGGTTAGCGGCCGAGGAGGCCGAGAAAGAGTTGCAATCAGAGGGAACAGACGGGCGGACGGGCTTGCATCCAAAGGGACCCGGGCAACGAACTAGACACCGAAAATGTCGATGGGGCTTTCGCCGCCAAGAAACGGTTCAAGGATTTCACGCGTGCCACAGCCCAGATGTTGGCCTTGTGGCCGTGGGCTTGGGAGTTTTTTCGGCGACCTGTATAGGATGACCAGGGCCCCTCGTGCAGCTTCTTCTTCGCAAGTTGTGCGCCACGTTTTAACTTGGGACCAGATCAAGTGGACGTGGGCCGACTGCAGTAAACGCTGTCGTGATCTTCCGAAGGCCATTGGCCAATGCGTTGCGTTTTCTCCCACCATGCGTTCGTTTTTGAGCGGCGATTAGTTCACAACTCACCCCTGGTTTGCGGCAGCGACCGCCAAGCACTGCAGGCCAGTTGTTTGCAACGTCTGCGATTCCTACACGTCAGGTGCCAAGGCTTCACCTCAGCTGCCTGGCCCGTGCCAGCGCCTCAAGCCTAATCAGCTGGCCATCATTAGGGAAAGCAGGCTCCCTTGGCCTAAGGGCACCACCATTTGTACGCCTTGGCCCGTTGCTGGGGTGTTGGGCTGGTGGGGGGCCCGAGCTACCGCTTCTCTGTTGCTTTATTATGCCAATGTGATCGTTCACCGTCGGAGCTTGATTGTTGCAGGTGCTATAGGTAAAGAAGGGAAAGAACGGGAGGAGGAGGAGGAGGAGAAGGAGGAGAAGGAGGAGCAGGAGGAGTAGGAGGAGGAGGAGGAGGAGGAGGAGGAGAGGAGGAGGGGGGGGGGGTTGTCGTTGGAGGAGGAGAGGGAGAATGAGAAGGAGGGGGAGCAGGGGGAGTAAGGGGAAGGACCGAGAAGGAACAAGGAGGAGGAAGAGGAGGAAGAGGAGGAGATAATGGGGTTTGGGGAAGGTGGGTGGAATCTGAGGAAAAGGAAAAGGCGGGGAAGTGGGGGCAGGGCGAAAGAACATGTATTTGCACCGAGTTGGCGCACAGTCTCAGCAGTTGGCCTCTCGTCGCCAGCGAGACACCGCGAGGCGCAATTGCATCTGCTCACCTCCAATTGTCACTGTCTGCGCGTCTTGACGTGCACTGGGTTCTTTTCTCTCATCCTTATTCGGGATACCGCTGGTTGATCATAACCCACCTTGTTATTGCTTGCGTTTTGGCTAACGCTGTTGATATGAATGTCGGCATTATTAGCCGCCTCTGGCGGCGCCACCCTCAGGCCCGAGGCCGGCCGCGGTCGCGGGGCGCCGGAACTTGACCCGGTGCTCGATCCAGGACGCGCGGGGGGGCGGAATTCCGGTAAGTTGCTCGTAGTTCCGCAGAGGAGGAGCAGAGACCATTGCCATTGAGATTCCATCGGGAGGGGATGCCGACCCCTGGGCGGTGGCATGCCCGAGCGTCGTCAGGGATTCGGCGACAGTGTGAGAATCTCGAGGGGAGTCCACCCGCGGCGACTTGGAGCACCCCCCCGAGGCCCAGACAGGGCGAAAAGCGCCGAAACACCCCGATCTGTCGGCGTCGTCGTCGTCGTCGTGTTCATCGTCGTGTTCGTCTTGATTCTCGCCGTCGTCGTCGGCAGCGTAATCTCCGAGTTGTTGTGGGGCGCTCGGCCGTCGCGTCCTTCTGGGCCTCCAAGCTGGGATCGGTTCGGTTCGGTTCCGTGGTGCCTTGCCGTTCTGCTGCTCTGGGTTGATGTTGCTTCCCGTTTCGGGTGGCCGAGCACCGAAAAATTGAAGCTACAAAAGACAACACGCCCCAAGCGTTTTTGTTGCATCCGGTGGTCGGCGACGGCGGGCGCCGACGGTCGCTCCAGGCCTCCCAGATGGGGTCCGAGCGGATGAGGTCTCGGAGGATCGCGCCGCATCCCCGATGCGGCTCGATGCGGAGCCCGGGTTCCTCCGCGCTGGCGTCGCCGAGGTCGGGGGCGGCCAAGAGGGGGGGCGTGATGACCAACGGGGGGGGGATATCGCGGCGATGGCCATGATATCTCCACAGATTTCATAGCGCATGTTCTTATTTCAATACGTTCTTGGCCCCCCCCCTGGGCCGCGCACATGCCGCTGGCCATAATTTGCGCCTCCCCTTCCTGGGCGCCCCCTTCTTGGACGCTCCCGACGAGGCATCGCCGATGCATCGGTGATGCATTGCCGATGCGGCGCGATCCTCCGACCCCATCTGGGAGGGCTCTAGGGAAGGGGAACTCGAAGAGGTCCGTGCGCTCGGCCGACGCGTCCTGGAGCAGCCAGGCGAGCAGGACAGCGCCGATGAGCGCGGGTCCGATGACGAGCTCTTCTGATCGAGGCAGCGACCTCGCGTTTGCAGTGGGAGCGCGCATCAAGAAACCGATTGCTTTTCGTCAGGGTACCCTGGGTTTCTTCGCGCTGCGCGGTAACTTCCCGCGGCCGTTGAGGGAGCTGCTTCGTTCATGATGTTTTGGGTTCGCCCCACTTGCATCTCACGCTTGCGGGTTTCAAGGCTGGGTTTCTTGCGAGGGTTTCTTAATTACGGCCGCGTCCGCATTGCAGCGCAAACCCGACACCATACCATGCACCATACCATACCGAACCCCCAAGCCCTCCACCGCTGCCTCCTGCTCCTCGCTGGCTTGGGCCGCCCTCTGGAGGGTCCGTCGGTTGCGGCCTTTCAGCCTCGGGTGCTCTCAGGCAGCCCGGGGTTATCCAGGGGTGCCTGGATCGTCCCGAGCGGCCGCCACAGGCACGAGTTACGGTCCGGAAACCAAGGGGCAGCTTGGAGGATTGGGGGCCATTTGCCGACCAGCCCGTTCCTTCGCATCCTCATCCTCGCCTGGGGGACCCGCAATCGGTGCGGTGGCCACACCGTGTGGTGAGTCAGTGGGGAGTCTCGGTGACCGCAAGGTTTTGGAATTTGGGTCGTTCTTTGAGGGCGTATGCGACGGGGGCCTCTTAGGGTCCCCAGACCGTGCGGTGACGGACGGTCCGTTGAGGTCGCTGGGGATTTCGAGGTCGCTGCACGATCCGTCAACGCGCGGTTTTGGGACTCGTTTCGTCTTCCGAGGGCGTCTGTGGTACGGCTGCGTCGCAGTTGGTCACGTTCGGTCGGGTCGGTTCGGTTCGGTCGAGTGTTGCATCGTTGCCACATCGACGCGCCCTCCTCGGCTGCTTGCTGCCTGCCAGTTTCGGTCGGCTTCGGTTTCGTTGTCGTTTCGGTCGGTTTTCGGTTGAGTGTCGCCGTGGAGGGCCCTGCATCTCCCACAGGTCTCGACCGCCGGTTGCTTCACAGGAGGCCGTGTAGGGCGACGGGGGCGCCCCGGCCAGGCCACCAAGCGAGGCGCGCTTCGAGAGCATCGAGTTTGTGTGTTGTGTGTTGCCGCCCTCTGGGGGCCTCCCAGGGCGCCCCTGTCGCCACGGTTGGATTCCTCTCGAAATTCTGGCCAGCACGCACCTTTGGACAGGTCCGGGAACCGATTTGTGACCCCGCCAAGCGATCGAAGGCAAAAGTGCAGGGTTCTCTCAAATGTCAGAATTGGCAGACGCCAGCGATGCACCTGCACCGATCTTGGCCAGAGCAATCCTGTCCCCAGTCTCTGTGTATACGCTCTCCTGGCTTAGCCAGCAGGGTACATGCACTTAGGATGGGCTCAAGATCGGCCCGGCCATGATCGGTGTAGGAGTAGTTGGCGTCATCCTGCGGAGCCTTTCACAATTTGGGGACATCCTTTTCCCTGGAAGCTGAAACAGCGCCAGCGCCTGCCTTCAAGGGAGGAAACACGACCAGGACCCGACACTTGGCGTTTATTACACGGCCTTGGGCGTTTGCTAAACAGCCCTGCCCTGTTCGATTCCTTCCTTGGGTGCGTTTACTATACGGCTTCGCTTGTCGGGGTGGTTATTTTAGGGAGGGGGGGACCTCTATTCCCTGAGCAGGTTGGCATCGCCGGGAGATGCCTGCGCAAACAGAAGGTCTTCCACCTCGACCCTATATGCGGCAGGCCAGTGCCGTCTCCGCCGGGGGGCCCAGGGAGGCGGAACAGACGCCCAAAAATGTCGGTCCTCCGACCTCGAGCCCCTCCTCGAGGACGCCGTTCGCGGGAAGAGGAGGAGGAGGAGGAGGCCTAGGAGGAGGAGGAGGAGGGGGAGGAGGAGGAGGAGAGAGAAGAGGAGGAGAGAGGAGGAGAGAGGAGGAGGAGCAGGAGCAGGAGGAAGGAAAGGAGGAGGAGGAGGAGGAGGAGGAGGAGGAGAGGAGAAGGAGGAGATGAGGAGGAGGAGGAGGAGGAGGAGGAGGAGGAGGAAGAGGAGGAGCCACTCGGCATTGAGCATATTTTCTCGGCTGGAGGCTTGTGCGAGAGTTCGCGCTCGCGAGGCAGGCTGGCGACCTCTGCCACAAGGTCGGCCCGCGCCGGAATGGATGAGCCCTTGATCTCCACGCTGGGCCTCCTCCTCCTCTTTTCCTGTCTTCGCCCTCCTTTTCCCTCCTTCCCCCTTTCTCCTCTTCCTTCTTCCCCCTTCTCTTTCCCCTCCTTTCCCTCCTTCCCACTTTCCCTCCTTCCCCCTCCTCTTCCTTTCTTCCCCCTCCTTCCCCTCCTCCCCCCTTTCTCCTCGTTTCCTCTCCCCCATCCCTTCTCCCTGTCCACTGGGCGGGGCGAGGGGCAAGATTTGTGCAACCGTGCCTGTGCACCATCACTTCTTCTGTTTCTAGAATGTCTTCAGGCCCATTTTCAGAGGATTCCTTCTGTGCCCATGAAGCAAGGGTTCCCTCTGTGGGTGCCTTGCAAAAGGAGGTGTTGTGTGTCGGCCTGACAAAAGGAGTCCTTTTGTGGCGGCCTTGCAAAATAGTTCCCTTGTGTTGTCGGGCTACAAGTTCATTCAGTGTGGGGTAGATGATAAGCTGAGTCCTTGCTGCAGTTGACTGCAAGTGGATTCCTTTTGTGGCAGGATGCTGACTGATTCAGCACGTGGTGGACTACAAGTTGATTCCTTATGTGGCGGATTGCACTTAGTTTTCTTCCGTGGCGGGTTATAGTTGGGATTATTGCGCGGAGGGTTACAGGTTGATTCAGTGTGGTGCGGGTTACAAAATGATTCCGTTGTGTGGCGGCCTTAATAAAAGCTGTACAACGCTTTTGGCACCGGAAGCGAATACGCAGTTGAAAAACACATAGTGTTCGTCATGTTGGATTCACGCCTGCTGTGTTGCACATTGTTGATTAGCCCCCAATGTCGAAGACATTGTTGTGCAACACAGCAGTTTCGAGATATGGGGTGTGAGGACCATGTGTTGTGCATTGTTGTCGGCATCGGGAAGTAGCGAAACATCTTGAAGCCGATCGTTCTTCTTTGAATGTCAAAAAATGTGGTAGTGTCTCTCTACCTCTGGAACCAAAAGCATCGAAGCACACACGACAGTTTACAGTATCCTGCGGTGTTGCGTGTGCTTGTTTTCCGTGTGTTCATGATCCGTAAGGGCTTTGCCCCCTGCCGCCGGCCCCCTCTCTCGGAGAATGGGCCACGGAAGAGCTGAACCATGAGGTCTGGGCGCCGCCATGAAGTAGTGTCGGGACCTGTTTGTTTTTCCACCCTGACCCTACGGATCTGCGTCACGGGTGCCACCGAATTTCAGAAATGTGGAAAATCCCGTGTGTTTTTGGACCCTGGCCCTACGGATCTGCGTCAGGGGTGCCACCGAATGTCAGAAATGTGGCAAATCCCATTATTTTAGAGCTTGACCCCGCCGATCTGCGTGGGGGGGTGCCACCGAATTTCAGACATGTGGCAAGTCCCATATGTTTTTGGACCCTGACCCTGCCGATCTGCGTGAGGGGTGCCACCGAATGTCAGAAATGTAGCAAATCCAATGTGTTTTTGGACCCTGACCACGCCGATCTGCGTGAGGGGTGCTACCGAATTTCAGAGATGTGGCAAATCCCATGTGTTTTTGGACCCTGACCCCGCCGATCTGCGTGAGGGGTGTTACCGGATTTCAGAGATGTAGCGAATTTGAACCTTGACCCCGCCGATCTGTGTGAGGGGTGCCACCGAATGTTAGAAATGTAACAAATCCCGTGTGTTTTTGGACCCTGACCCCGCCGATCTGCGTGAGGGGTGCCACCGAATGTCAGAAATGTGGCAAATCCAATGTGCTTTTGGACCCTGACCGTGCCGATCTGCATGAGGGGTGCCACCGAATTTCAGAAATGTGGCAAATCCCGTGTGTTTTTGGACCCTGACCCCGCCGATCTGCGTGAGTGGTGCCACCGAATGTCAGAAATGTGGCAAATCAAATGTATTTTTGGACCCTGAGCCCGCCGATCTGCGTGAGGGGTGACAATTTTTCCTACCCCAGCAATTCAGAGCACACGATTTCGGCGTAGTAAAAATGCCCGTTTTGGGCCTCTCCCCCTCGCGCGGTCCATCACCAAGGAACAGTAAGCAGCAAGAAGCCAACAAGGAACAGTAAGCAGCAAGAAGCAGAGCTGCAACAGCGGAAACTGGAAGCTGTAATTGGTACAGGAATCTGTGAACCTTCGCCCTACAGCCTGGTGGCCCCACGAGGGGGCCGGCGGATTTTCTTGGCGCTCTTTAGCACATCCCCCACAAAAATGAATCGTGTGTGCAAGGCCGCCGCACATGGAGTGTATCCGCGTAACGCCGCCACAAACAACGTGTCCGATTGTAGGGCCGCCAGAAGAAGACTGTGTTTGCTAAAGCTGCCGCAAGAGAGCCATGCTGTAAAGGTTGACGCAAAACTATGCCATCTGGAACCCGCAACACGAGCCAACACATCGTACCCCGCTGCAGAAAGAATTCAGCTTGCAATCCGCCGCAACAGGAATCCATGTGTAATGCGCCCCGAAAGGGGTCCGTTTGTCAGAATACGTAAGGGCCCCTATCAAAGACATACCATTGGAAGGCCGCAACAAATGAGAATCGATATGTGAGGTAGCCACGAAAGAGAATTGATGCTTAGCGCGGTCGCAGAGTGAGTACATGTGAAGTGCCGCCACAAAGGAAGTCACACAAGAAATGTGATTTCTAGACGCCTCGTGTGACCGCACCAGCTCATCCAGAAACAATGCCAAGGCGAGTTGCCCTGATCAGAGATGTGGAGGAGCATGCAGTGGAATAACGGGCTGGGGAAGCCATCGTACCCCAAGAGGGGGAGGATGCAGGAGGAATCGGAGGAAGAGGAGGATAAGGGGGAGGACGGAGGAGGGAAGAGGAATGGGAGGAAGAGAAGGACGGCGAGCAGAAAGGCCAGAGGCTTCTTGGATGCTTCTCGGAGTCTCTTCGGATGTCTCTTGAGAGCTTCTTGGAGTCTTCCTTCCTGGGGCGTCTTGGGGGCTTCTTGGCAGTCTCCGGGACATCTTAGAGCGTCTTGGGTGTTTTGTCGGGACCTTTGGGGGCCTCTTGAGGGTCTCTTGGGAGCCTCTTGGGGACCTCTTGGTAGCCTTGGGGCCATCTTGGAGCCATCTCGAAGGACTTCAATCAAAGAAGGGTTTGGGACTCAATTAGGGCCCCCCCCTTTGCAACTCCTGCAATCCCTTCTTGGAGCGATCTTGGGCGCTCTGGGGCCTTCTTGGAGCCACCTTGAGGCCTTGGAGGGGCATCGAAAGCGAAACGGCGCAACGGCAAAGACATTGATTATCTTTAGGTTGATGATGAATTTTGGCCTCATGGTGGATGGAGCTACCTGGAGCCGTCTTGGGGCGCTGTTGGGGCCTCGTGGGGCATGTTGGAAACCATCTTGAGCTCGATTGAGCCTTCTTGGAGGTCATCGTGGGCTCTCTAAGGTCCTCGTGGGGCCATGTTGGGCCATCTTGAACGCTCTGACCGCTCGCGGCCCCGCCCATCCAGACCCAAGGGGTGGAGGGGGAGGGATCAAGCTTCCCCAAGCCGCAAGACGTGTCGCTCACTCCCACCCGCCCTCCCGCTACAAGAGAATAATCCGAGTCTCAGCACAGGCAGGGGCCGCCAGCAACACCCCTCAGGAATCAATCCAGACGCCAGCCAGGTGCGCGATGCCCGCGAGGTGCGCCGCACGTGCCAGGCGCGCTACTCGCACCAGGTGCGCCGCATGGCGCAATACGCCGACCGCCCCAGAATCCCTGTCAAAAGCTATGCAAAATGACAAGTGCATGTTGTATGTATTTGTTCTGCAAGGGATGGCGGGGGGGTCGGTATGGTCCTGGGTTCGTCGCGGGTCGGGTGGGGGAGAGGATGTATATCTGATGGTTTTTCGCCCAGCCCGTCACCGTGCCTAGGTTGTGGGTATGAAGCCTATTGGATTGGATGTTCGCTGGGATCTCGTGGGAGGCCTCCCGGGGCCCTCTCGGGGCCGCCCTCTTCGGAGCCTCTTGGGGCCTCCTGCCTGGGCGTCTCTCGGGGCCTCCTGGGGGCATCTTGGGGCGGAAGGCTCGGATTTTCTGTTCGTGCTCCCTCTTTGGGGGCCGTCGTGGGCGCATATTGGGCCGTCTTGGGGCGCTCTCAGGCCGTCTTGGGGCCCTCCTGGAGGCCTTTCGGGCCGTTTTGGGATGGTCTTAGGAGCCTCTGGCGCCGTCCTGGAGCGTCGGAAAGCCGAAAAGGCGAGAACGCCAATCTCTTTCAAAAACCTCAGGATGATAAATAATGTATGCCTCTTGAGGCCCTCTTGGAGGCCTCTTGGGGCGTCTTGGAGGCCTCTTGGGCCATCTTGAGGTCATCTTGGGGCCATGCCATCTTGGGCGTCTGGGGCCGATCTTTGGGCGTCTCGGGGCCCTCGTTGACCGTCGTGGCGGCCTCGTAGGGCCCTCCTGGCCCGTCTTCGGTCATCTTGAGCCTGAAAAAGTCACGCGACAAAATGCGGGGAAGCCCAGGGGGCACCCGGGAAGCCCTAGGCGGCACGCGGGAAGCCCCGAGAGATTTCGGAATTTGTGTTCTGGACCCCTTCAAGACTCCTGAGGAGTGTGGACTGAGGCTCAGAGGATTAGGCAAAGGACCTGAGGACACGCCCATTCCATGCCCAGAGGCACGGTGGCGGATTAATACGCAGCAGTGGTAAACCCCTCCCCGAAAGGGAAGAAGGGCGGTCGGAATAGGAAATTCCCTGAACCGCCTCCGCCGAGAGGGCTGGTGGGATTTGTCAGGTCGCCACAAGGGGAAGCGGTTTGTAATCTGCCACCAGGAGAAAGCGATGTGTTTTCCTCGAGATGGAGAAAGGAGGAGTAGGAGGAGGGGGCTCTGGGAAGCTGCGTCGGAAGGTCAGGCGGGAGGAGAGAGGAGGCTGGGGAGTGGGAGGAAAGGGGGAGGCAGAGAAGGGGAATGGCACAGGAGGGCCGAGGAGGACGCAGGATCCTGTGGAGGCCCGAGATCTCCTGCAGCCCACCGTTGTGCTCTTGGCGGCCGCCTCTGCCCGGCGCGGCGGCTTCTCGTCGGCGTACGTGCACGAGCAGGCCGACGGCATTGGCGCCACGGGCCGCCAGCGGGAGGCGCGCCGTCAGCCCGCGCGCCTTCCCGAGGGGCTCCTCCTCGATCCCCGACCATCCTCGATCCTCCTCCTCCTCGAGCCTCCTCGATCCTCCTCCTCCTCCTCCTCCTCCTCCTCCTCCTCCTCCTCCTCCTCCTCCTCCTCCCCGATCATCCTCGATCCTCCTCCTCGAGCCTCGGTCTCCAAGGGCACGCCGCGAGGGGAGAGGCGAGAGGCTGGCGGGCTGGGCTTCTTGGGGCCTCTGGAGCCGTCTGCTGCACGCTGTGGCATCCCGGCGCCGTGCCCTGCTCTCTGTGCCCCGGGCCGGGTGCCAAGCGTGCCTCCCTCGGCCGAGCGCCCACGCACATCGGGCCGGGCGAAAGGGGGGGGTTGGGAAAGGGGGGGTCACGAGATTTGCTGCATGCAGCTGGTTGCGGCCCCCCCGAGGGGCCCATTCCTCGATGCATGGGCGCCTCCCGGCGCCGGGGGGCGCCGGGAACATCAGCTGCGCGAGCTGATTCTCAGACCCCCCCTTGGCTATCCCCCCCTTTCGCCTGGCCCGAGTACAGTCGAGGCGCTGAGGCGAGGACCGCTGCGGGCTCGGGGCGGGGGCCCTGGCTTTCGGGCCGCTCCTCGGCCTTTTGGCTCTGGGTCGGGGGGGGGGGCCCGCGCCGTGGCCGAGGCCGGCCGTGGCCAGAGAAGCCCCTCGGTTTTTTTCTCGGCGTCCCGAAGGGCAGCACGAGAATTGCACCACGCCTCCTCCTCCCCTCCTCCCCCTCCTCCCCCTCCTCCTCCTCCTCCTCCTCCTCCTCCTCCTCCTCCTCCTCCTCCTCCTCCTCCTCCTCATCCTCATCCTCATCCTCATCCGCCATTCCTTTTACAAATTATCCCAGTGCGACCCTACCTAGGAATTGGAGGATCTTGGAAAGCAACATCAAACACTTTATATGAAGCTAAGCTAAGCTAAGATGAAGTTAAGCTAAGATGAAATAGGATAGGCTAAGATGAGATAAGCAACGCGAAGCTAAGGGAACGTCGCTGGGGGAACCGCGGAGCGGATGCCGGGGGAACCTCCCGGAGCGAGCCCCATTGCCCGGCCCTTTAAGCTTAGCTATGTTATGCTAAGCTGCGCTATGCGATGCTATGCTATGCTATGCTATGCTATGCTATGCTATGCTATGCTATGCTGCGCTATGCTTTGCTCTGATTGGGTATGCTATGATATGTTATGCTAATGCAGCGCTGCGCTTTGCTAAGTTAAACTAAGCTAAGCTAAGCTAAGCTAAGCCTCTAAGCAGAGCCTAGGTAGGGAATTACACCCATGCTATGATATGCGATGCTGCGCTATGCTACGCTATGCTATGCTCTGCTATGCTAAAGCTCAGCGAAGCTAAGACGAAGGTAAGATAAGCTAAGATACAACTGAGGTAAGATGAATCTAAGCTAAGGTAAGATGCAATAAGCTAAGCTAAGACGAGATAAGCAACGCGAAGCTAAGGGAACGTCACTAGGGGAACCGCGGGGCGGATGCCGGGGGAACCGCCCCGGGCGGGTTCCATTGCCCGGCCTTTTAAGCTTGATAGTAAGAACCCTTTTAGGTAGAGCCTAGGTAGGGAATAACTTCTCCCTGTCGCACCCCGAGGAGTCGAAAGGGCTGGCCAGGCGTTTCGCCTGAGGTTTCTTCACCATGTATGACCCTGAAGCTTCAATGTTGGCAACAGTTTCACAGATGGAGGGCGGGTCGTTTTCAAAATGTGGTTATCGCCTTAGCGCCGCGCGCATTGTCGTGAAGAGTTTGCAAGAGCTTCACGGATGGAGGGCGGGTCGTTTTCAAAATGTGGTTCTCGTCTTACCACCGCGCACATTCTTTTTTAATAATTCTCAAGAGCTTCACGGATGGAGGGCGGTTCGTTTTCAACATGTGGTTCTTGCTTGGGCGCCGCGCACATTCTTTCTTAATCATTGCAAGCGTTTCACGGACTCCCATGGTCAACGTGATCGCCTTTTTTCGGGCCTCAGGACCTTCACAGATCGATCCGGCTCGAAAAATGACGCCAGGGCTTCGGTCGTGATTTGTTATGATGGTGTAATTGTTCGCTACGTCGGATCTCGGGATAAGAGTGATCATTCGACGGAGTGACCTTTGGTGCGGGTTCACAGGGGTGGCCCCCGCACTGGCCCGCGCGAATGGGATTGGGCCCCTCGCGGTCCACTAAAGCCGCGCACCAAAGGTCATCCTTGCCTAGGATCACTCTTGCGCGTAGTCGATGTTCCGACGTCCCGAGGCGGCGCGATGCTCGCATGGCATTGCCGTTCATCTTGGCGCCACGATCCGATTCGATTTCGATTCCGTGCCGCTGCAGTCCGATCCGACGCACATTCCGGTTCGATCAGATTTCGCGATTCGACGTTATTTGGAAAGCAGCAGGAAACATCAACCAACCGCTGGGGCTGTTGCTGGTCCATCTCCCCCTCCCTCCTCTCGCCCGCTCTTCCGTTCCTCCCTCCCCCGCTCTTCTCTCTCCCTCTTCTCCGCCTCGGCCCCAGCGGGTGTGTCCGCATGCCCCCCTCCTCCGTGGCACACCCCATCACGCGCGTCGTGCCCCCACATGGAGCTCAACATACGGCCCAGTCCGTGCGTCTGCATGCCGTCCCTCGCCCATTCCAGCACACCCCTCACGCGCTGCATGCCCCCACGTGTAGCTCCACATGCTGCCCCAGCGAGGGCGTTCACAGGCGACCCCCCCGCCCGATCCGGCACGCCGATCACTTGCATTGTTGGCCCAAGGAGGCCCGAGCTCCATCCACATCGCGCCACGCCCTACGTTCACGGTGTGCTTCGGATATCTGGCCTGTTTGGGAAAAGAGCATCTGCCCATCCACCATCGTGTTCCATGGGCCGCCATTCGGAGGTGGTGAGAGCACGGCACTCAAGAATTCGGCTGCCAGTGCGAGGGGCATGCGTAGCGTCTCGGGCGGCCACGAAGTCCGACACCTAGCCCAGCCATTGCGTGCTTGGGCGCAGGTCCTCTGGGCCGTCGATCGGCGACATCAGCGCGTGGAGGCACTCGCTCACGTCATGCCGCATGCGCCTGGAGTCATTGCGATGCGCCTCCTCATTTTTCTCTGCTCAGGGAGCCTGCACTTTCAATTGTTTGCGATCAACTAGGTGAGAATATCAAAGACGCCTACTGCGAACCACCGCCGTCCCCTGCACTCTGGAAGCACATGTGTGGCCAAACATTAGGCGAAATTCTGGCTAAGATATTGAACTACGTGCGTCCTCAGCCGTTGCGATGACCCTCGGGAGAACATGTTTGGTGGAGGAGGAGCGGGAGGACAAGGAGGCCTCTCGAGGTCTCTCCGGGTCTCTCGGGCATTCTCTTGTACCTCTTGGCTTGTCGAATGCTTTCGGAGGCAATATTTTGAGCCTCTCTGGTCAGTACTGGAGGTCTCTTAGGGCCTTCTTGGAGCCGTCCATCTTTGACCGTATTGTTCGTCTAGGAAGCACGTTGAAGTCTATCTGGGGTCAGCCGTCGTGGTGAGCGTCGAGAACGGTAATTTTCTTCAACCATATTTCCGGGAAGCCAATGCTGTGGCATCAATCGGGCAATATTGGAGTGCATTTTGGAGCCGTCGGGGGTGTTTTTTATTTGGTATTGGAGCCGTCTTGAGGTCGCATTGGGCCGTATTGGATGCACATCGCGCGAATTTGAAAGCCATTCTGACCTGCTTGAGGCGTCCAGGGCCATATTGCACCGTCTTGGGCAGCATTTGTTGGGTCCTACTGGGCCGTCTTCGGGACCTCTTTGGGGCCTATTGGGCTGCATTGGGGCAATACTGGAGGTCTCTTGGGCCGTCTTGGGCCTTCAGAAGCCCTAAGGGGCCGGAACGCTACAATTTGTAAACACGCAGCTGGAAAATATCGATGTGGGCATCTGCGGGCCAAATATTTGGGGGCTCTCGAGCCGTCTTGGACGCTCAAAAGGTCGAAAAGGCCATAATGACAACATCAGTCCGAAGCCTAAGGGGGTTGGACGGAGGTGGCTTCTTGGGCCAGCAACTCCTATGGCCTCCAAGACGCCCCATGCGGCGCCCAAGAGGGCTCTAGGGCAGCCCCCAGGACCATAGCAGACCACGTTTGGCTTCTGGAAAAGTCATGTGGGGCGCCCCAGGACTCACGCGGCACACCCAAGACCATCCGGGATTCGGGGCTCGGGGCCCGTTCAAGAGACGCGGTACGTTGCGGAGATCGGGTTGTTTGGAGCATTTCGGCCAGTGCAAAGGTGTTTACATTGGTTCCTCGTCGCCCCTCCTTTACCCATGTCCCTCGTCTGTTGCTGCTCCTCCCTCATCCTCATCCTTCTGCTTATCTTCTGCTCCTGTCCCTGCTCTTGCTGATACCCTCCCCGTGAGGAGGAAGAAAGAAGGAGGACGAGGACCAGAAGAACGGGGAGGGAGGGGAAGAGCGGACTGAGAGAGGAGGAGAAGGAGGAGGAGGCAGAGGAACATGTGGAGGAGGAACCATAGATCAGAGAAGGAGACGGTGAAGGGGAGGGAGACGGGGACAGAAGCTGAGCAAGAGCACCGCACGGGGGCGGGGCCTCCCTCCCCCCTTCTGGAGGAAGAAGCGGGAGGAGGTTGGGACGGAAAGGGGGGCAGGGGACTGGGGGGCACGAGGAGGAGGAGGAGGAGGAGGAGGAGGAGGAGGAGGAGGAGGAGGAGGAGGAGGAGGAGGAGGAGGAGGAGGATGGGGAGGAGGAGGATGGGGCGAGGGGGGGAGGCCGAAGCGGCGAGGGGAAGAAGAGACGGTGAAGAGAAGGGGAGGAGGAGGAGAGGAGGAGGAGGAGGAGGAGAGGAGGAGGGAGGAGGAGGAGGAGGAGGGGGAGGAGGAGGAAGCAGGCGGAATGAGGAGGAGGAGGTGGTGGGAGGTTTTGACGGTCGCATCGAGAAAGAGGAGGAAACGGAGGAGCGGAGGCAGGGAAGGGCCGGGAGCCCTCGCTCAGGCCAACATGTTGTGCGGACCGTTGTTGGCCCAGTCTGCGGACGACCGCGAGCACGCCATCGGCGTGCTGCAGCTGATCGAGAAGCGCATACGAGCGGACTCCGAGGCCCCGGGGCGAGAGGAGGAGGAGGAGGAGGAGGAGGAGGAGGAGGAGGAGGAGGAGGTGGTGTGTTCTGCCCTCCGCCATCGGCGCATGTCATTTTGAGTGGTAGCATTCTGGTCCGTCTGGGTCCTCTTCCCGCTCCGCTCTCTGTTGTCCCTCCTCCTTCAGAGGTTCGAGGACAGGAGAGGAGACCGTCCGCGCAGCATATACTTGAAAGTTTTCGGGCGTGCCGACCTCGTTGCCACGGTTAGATTCACAATCTTCATGTTGGAAGTGGCCGCCGTCAGAGGTGAGCCAGGGCCATCAATTCAAGCGGTTTGGATTTCGGCGCGAAGGCTAGAGCAACCCCATACGCAGGTGATCAGTTGCGAGAGCATTGCAATAAGATGGCAACATCAGGCGAGTTGGAAGCGCACCTAGAGGGCCTGATATCCGACGTGTCCTCCCACACAGAAGACACGCAGCAAACTGCCCAACAGCAGCTCGCGGGGCACGGACCAGTCGCACCAGGGCAGGGCCACTCCGATCCGCCTCGAGCTATTGATCGGGCTCGAGCGGCGGGATAACCCACCTCCAGCGCGGCCAGTCTCCGAATGGGTTCTGCTTGATGGAGGCTGATTCGTATCCTGTTGCAGCTCAGCCTGGGGGGGCGATGCACTGCACGGGCCCCGTCGCGCCCAGATTGCGGGAACGTCTCGAAGAAGACGCTGGTCTGCGGCCCTCGGCCTTCTCTCGGGGGGCCCCGCGGCCCCCTCATCGCGAGAGCCGCATGACCACCGCGATGTGGCAGGCAGGGCACGTGGGCACCCCAGTGGGGGGGAGCCGCTGGTCGGTGCCGCATTGGCCCGCTGGCGCCCAGATCGTGGGGACATCTCGAGCGGGAACGCGGGCTTGGGCGCTCCCGGCTCCTTCGTATGGAGCACCTTGACCACCGCCGTGCAGCAAGCATGACACTTGGGCATCCCAAGGGGGCGCCGCCAGTGGGTGTGACACTGCCCCGTTGGCGCCCAGATTGGGGGGACATCCGGATGCAGTAAGGCTGCGGCGGCTTTGCGTCTTGCCGACGCGGCGGCGACCCCAACGCGGGCGTTCAAGGTTGAGCGCCCCCCTTGGCCCAGGGCAGGCCGACATCGAACGATTTGCGCGATCAGCGAGCCGCGATCATTCGGGTTTCAACGATCCACGGTGTGGAACAAACCGACCCGCAAGTTGTCTCCACACGGACTTGCCGCACACGAGTTGCGGCCAGCTTGTGCGAGTGCTGGATGCACGCGTGGCCAGGAGTGGCTCTTCTGGAGGGTGGGCCTGCAGGGCTTCCGCGTGTGCATCCAGCGCATGGCCCCTGGCTGTCCCACACGTGCGTCTCGCCTTCCTGGTCGGTCTCGGGCATCCAGGGGGATCCCGACCTGCTCGAGAGAACGTTGCGCGGGCTCGGGGCAGGCACGGCGCTGGCAGCGCAGCGAGGAGGCCGAGGTGCCTCTCATCGAGGAGGCGCCCTCCTCGAGGAGACGCCCCAACCCCCGAGAGAAGGCGAGCTTCGAGAGCGCCTTCCACGAGGAGACCGAGTCGAATCGCGGCGCCTGTGACCCCTTCACTCCGGTTGACGAAAGCTTCTTCGCAGACCTCCTGAAGATCATAGGAAACCGCCCGCCCCGTGGATGTGGAAGAGGAGCAGAGGGAGGAGGGGCGGAGACAGGGGAGGTGAAAAGGAAGGAGGAGGAGGAGGAGCAGGAGGAGGAAGGAGGAGGAGGAGGAGGAGGAGAGGGATGGGAAAGAGGATTGTTGTTGGCAGCACACATGAAGACGGTAAGAGACCGCGCCCCCTTAGGGAAGTGGAGCTACGCACCACAACCAGACATGCCCGCCGCCACGGCCGTCGCCTAGGTCACGACCAACGGCTGGGATGCAAGTCCCAGGCCGGTCGATGGCCGAGGAACCTCTGACGAAAGGGACCACGATGATGACGATATCCGCCCTCACAGCACCAGACTCACAGCGCCAGACCCACAGCCCACCCATTCGTCCTGGAACTGGTCCCACGGTCATCGGCCAAAGTTCCAACCCTGACAACGGCCTCCGTGGCACGGTCGTTGATAAAATTGGCGCCGCTGGCGAAGATTGGATTGTCATGCTGCGCAGCGGGTGCAAGGCCGTCCTGAGGCACAGCCTGCCCGTCGACCGCGACGCCAAGGGCCTCCACGCGGAGGCCGCGACCACTGTTTCCAGCAGTGGGTCGCGGACGGGGCCCACTGTCGCACCCCGCGACCAAAGTGCAGGTCGGGCATCTTGTTGCAACCACCTGAATTTGATGTACCGGACGTGAGCCGGCCTCCGCCGTGGGGGCAAACCCTTCCAGGGCGTTGATCAGGAGGGGACAGAGCACACAGACACAAACAAACATGGCTTCCCAAGAAAACACGTGAAAATATCGGTAGTTGGGGGGAAGACGAAAACCCAGAAAACGTTGAACAATTTGGGAATCTTGGTACTTGTATATGTTTATTTGTGTGTCCTGGGCCCCTTCAGTTGAGGTGGTGGATTGGCTCACGTGCCTTCCTTGCTCCCGCCGCCCCTCGGTGGTCGCGCCTCCGTGCACGGCCAGTGGCTGGCGGGATCTGGAGGCGACCGTGCCATTTCGCACGGTCGCTGGCGTTTGGGTCTTTTCGCCCCTTCAGTGCGAGGGGAGACCTTTGTCTCGAGCAGTGGCGAAGCGTCTTGGCGTGCCTGTAGGTTTAACAAAGAATGTCTTAAGAACTTGTTGTGGTTTGCGCGAAAATGTTCTTAGAATATGTCTCCTAGGCCTGTCTTGTTCTAATGCATCGGCTTCACTGTATTAGAATACCGTTTTCGTTATCAGAACATTCTGCTGTTCTAGGACATCTCGTGGTAAGCCTAAAGGAATGACGGACGACAGGTCTCTGCTCAATTGTTCGCCCCAGTGCCAGAGCTGCTTGCCTTTGATTGGTCGTCCTTTCCTCCCCTGGTGGGTCCAGCCTGCCCTGGGGGGTGACCCTCACCGCCGTTCCTCAGACGGGTGTGGTCCGCGGTTACGGGGCTGAATCCCCCCCTGCGTGTTTGAGACTTTTCGGTTTGCTGTTCCTTTTCGTTTGTTCTGTGGGTGGGTCGTTCGATTTGTTTTAGGGGGGGACTTTGTTTTCTCGTGCGTCGGCGGGGCATGGTCTTGGAACTTCGGGGGGGGGGGCCTTGGAAGGGGGGGGCGCCGCTTGGTCACGCTGTGGAAGTCTCGTCAGGGGGGGGGGGAGGGGGGGTGCGAACAAAACAAATCAGAAAAACAGGCAACATCTTTGTTTATATGTTTTTCTTGTTGGTTGCCCCCCCCCTCCTTCCCTCTCCCCCCTTCCTCCCCTCCCCCCCTCCCCCCTGCGGCTTCTGGGGGGGGGGTTGGGCCTTGAGAAGGGGGGCGCCGTTTGGTCACGCGATGGATTGTGCGACCCCAGGGTTTGCAACCTTGGGGGGGACCAAAAAAACAAAAAACTTGTCTTGTTGTTCTAAGTGTTTGCCCCGCCCCCTCCCTCTCCCCCCCCTCCTCCCGTCCCCCTGCCCTCCCCCGCTTCCCCTCCCCCTCCTCCCTCCTCCCGTCCCCCCCGTCCCCAGTGCAATCGGATGTGC